TTGGGTCTGCAATTAGTGAACTTAGATGATATACAGCTTTGTGAGAGATGCCACACTTCACCCATGTTCTCTTAGTTTTTTTATCTTGTTGTGATCAGTAAGTTTTTTTACAGCTCATCTAAAAAATGTGGGCTAGGATAAGATTTAGGATTCCAGTCCTGTTTGTGCATTGATAAGGAAATCATGAAAGACTAGAACTTATAAGAGCAATCAAGAGACCTGCAGAACGAGCAAACATKATGTTTAAAGAGATCAAGGCAGAAAGTTATAAAATCAAAAAGTCACATAGATGACTCGATCAACTGGAGGGGCTGATTTATTTATTTTATTTTACTCAATCCAAGCAGTGAAATGACTAAGTCACAAATTAACCCTTTTAACTGTTGCCTTCTATTCTTTCTTTTGAAGAATGATCTTTTCTGACCCACGTGTTCTCTGAAAGAGTTGTGGGAATGTGTAACAGCTTTGCTCAGTTTAAATAAAAAATATATATAAAAACATTACCTGGAAAAGAAGGTCAAATTTGGCTGARATAAGTGCTGCCATCTTGTGTTTATGGCCATATTTGCAGCCAAGGTTTGTGCCACGGACAATATGCAGCATCTGTGAATAGCAGGTAGAAAAGCTCTTAATTTAGCATAAATAAAAATAAATAGATCCATTTATTAAAGTCATTTAATTGGATCTATTTGGTTTTAATGTATCGAGTGATGCCTTGMAAACAATGATTATGACAGACAGTGATTGGCAGCTGTTCATCTTGTGTCCACAGTCATTTAGATGGAAGCTGCAGGTTACATAAAGTTAAACAAGTGTGTGATCATGTGTTGCTGGAGCTTGATTACCAAGAAYACACCCTGCTGTCAATCGTTTCAGTTAAATAAACTCATTCTTATAAGATGGATCCAAAGGTTTGAAGATATTTTGGTCGCTTCTTAGTACGGTGATGAGTGAGAGTTGGGTTTTTGTTCATGTAAACTGTGAAAAGCCTGCAGAAATCCAGCAGCAGTCTGCATCTTATTCCTTTCATAGAACAAAACTGTGTTTAAAAAAGACAGAAAGGGATAATGAATTGGATTTTGTTGTTAGAATCCATGCATGTTTGAGGTTTGGCAGTGAAAGGCTTTAGGAGTGAATGAGATCTGTGGTGACTTAAACACACAGTAAATCCAACACACACTGTTCAGCACACTCAAACACAAAAGATGGGATCTAGCGGAGTACTTACTTTTACACATCTTTTAAGCTATAGTTGTTGATACATGTGGCTGGACTAATAAAGTGTTAATATTGATGAAATATAAACTAAAGCTGGTACAAAAATTTTTGGATTTTATCATTCTTATCAGATAAAAGTTTTCATTGCATTAATGCAAATGACTTTTAATAGCACTGATTACAAAAATGCGGTCCAATCTAAGAAGTTCTACAAAAGTTGGACTTTGTTGATTGATCATTTTGCTAAAATAGCTCTTATAGTAACATGAAACCTTATTTGGTCAAGATTGTTAAAAGGAAATAATGTTCTGTAGAAGTATTTTTTTAGTGGATAATAGACACTTTCTCATCCAGTTTTATATCCTTCTAAATATTAAGTATGTATTATTGTTTATGCTTGGTTCACAACTTCACATGCAAATGCTCCGTAATAGCATATCTTTACTTCTTGTGCAAAGAGCTTTGAATTTCTCTCATAGTTATGCTTTTTACATCAGCTTGACACTCCTTGATGCCTCCTGTCTGAGCAGGGATATTTTCAATGGAGATCCTCACGTAGAAAAGAAGGTTTCCCTGCAGACTCCTTCCTCCCTCCATTAGGTAACTGTTCAGTGTGTCGGGAACAAAATGGATTTGGTGCACACTAAGTGCCTGGTGGAGTGAACCTTAATAACTGCCCCTGATAAAAATCTAGGAGGCATTCTTCTCAAAGCAGTCAGTCTTTAATGTTTTCTTTTCATTTTTCTTTCCTTTTTTTGGGGCCCCACCATTAGGATCAACAAAATTAACCTGTTAGACAATCAAAGGATTTCAAATAAAAAAAGTTCTGGTTGAAGATGCTTCACTTCCCGTCTGCGTCTGTCAAGTTTTCCTTTTCTATGAATGGAAGGAGGTCCAACAACATCAAACAGAACAGATCGTTTCCTTACCAGCTTATTTAAATATTAAACAGTTCTGGATAAATACGCTTCCTAGAACTTAATAGTTGATTTGTAGTTACTTTGACTTCAGCAGATTGGTGGTTCTGCCCTTCCCCCCACTGAGTGTGCTCTTGCTGTGTGGGCTGACACATCCTTTATGGTCTGCAGAATCTGCCTGATGAATGGCTCCTCGTGCAAATGGTGCAGACAGTTTATGCAGGTCCATGGTGGAGTCTCAACAAAACGTTTCACACAGTTTTGTTTGGGGGCAAGCTCAGTTTTAAGAAACGGACATCAGAAAGTCCAAAAACTTATACAATGAAAAAAAAAAAGTGAAGAGGGAGTGGTCCTTGGTTACATTTTCCCACTCAACCGCCCCACAGTTGTGCACAGAGGTGGTTTGTGTTTGTGCCTCTGTGTGTTCAAGCGGCTGACAAGAGGGAACACGCCACAAGCATTTACTCAGGAATTTATTTTTACACTGATCAAAGTAGGAAGAGTTGGGATGAGGTGTTGGACGAGAAAGCGTGACCAGGAAACACTCCCCCCCTTAACCCCGCCCATCCATTTCGACGAGCACAACTAGCCACAGATTTAATTATAAAGCACTTTTACAAACATAACGACTCAGATCAGAAGATTTGTGAATGGTATGGATCAAAAGAAACAACGTAAAAGCACTCATTAAATCCCAGTATTTTAGTGTTGACGCTCCTGTTTCTTTATAATTTATGAAACATGGAAAAACCTGCAGAGTCCTCTGCAGAATTTATTTATGTTTCTTTATGAGCAGGTTTCATGTCACGTTCAGTCAAAAACGGTGAGAAGTTGCCATTTATTTCTTTCATTCTCTATTTTATTGCATTTAATGCAGTTTTAGTGTTTTCCATCTCAAGCTGTTATTATCCTGTCAACCAAATCATTAGAGGCATTTGSTTTTGACTTCAAATAACTCCTTTAATCAGAAACTTTAGCAGAATATAAAAGTTCTTATTAAAAAAATGCGACAGTCAGCATGAACTCATTGGATTTTTTTTCTCCTTTAAAGCAGGGAGCCTCTATTAGCCGGTGGATGCGTTCGTTCATAACCAGCCTGCATCAGCATTTAAACTTTATATGTAAGCACGCATATTTGAAGAGTAAACAGAAGAGGTTTGACACATTTTCATGTTGAGAAAACATCCGCGTTTTGCTGGATGAGCAGCCTGTGGGCCTGTAGCAGCAGGTTACACTGTCTCTGTGGGATTATAGGGCAACGTAATGATGGCTTTGCACAGGGAAACTCACAGCTAAAGCAAATAAAAAAATATGGAGTTTCAGATCACAGAAATAGCTTGAATTGATTAACRCTTAAAGCTTTACTTACACTAGTTCACTGTTTCTACAAACAGAACAAAAGCTGGAGTGTGTTGGAGTTTGACACAGCTTGTACGACACAGCAGAATATTTGTAAAAAAAAAGATGTAAGACATCAGTTTAGGTTTCGCAGCTCAACAGAGGAGA